CCTGCTATACTTTTAACACAGACTAGTCACCAGCAGCCAGATCACATGTTAGGCAAGCACTGTGACTAGTCAAACTCAGTCAACAGACCATGAACAGACAAAGCAGGCAAGTTGTGGGCACAGCTGACTTATCAATTACCCACAGTCAAAGCAAATTCAGCTGTATCAAGTAACACCAACAGTCACATACAGCTAGTCAATCCTGCTTTATAGGCTTGGAAATCTTAAATCTTGAAAACAGTCACTTCATTGATTTTGACTGAGAGGACTACTTGGCACAGAATGTATGTTTGCATAGGAGGGTTAAATCAGTGTGATTAACCCTTGGTAACTGCAGGCTTTCCTGCTTGACACGAGCAGATAGTTGAGCAGTTGCGCATTGCATGAATTCTCAGTTGCAAGTGCGCGTGCAGGTTCTACACGCGCACACGTGTATATAAGGTTAAGCGTTGTATGCATTTTTACAGACTGGACACATTACCGTTCTCGACCAATGCAATTACAGTATTAAAGCACACGATATAACAACCTAGAATGTTAAGTTTGATAATGGGCCCTGCTGATCGTCATCAATCAGTGTTTATAGTCCGTCTGTCCCCGAAATCGAGGGTTGGACTCATGGTGATCGATTGTCTACTTGATGATGATGATGATGATGTTTGCAAGGCTGAACCTGAATTCAACATCAATTTTCATCAACCTTCTCTGGATATCTGCACACTTCGCGCGTACATGCATACAGTGCGGGGAGTATCAGTCACAATACCCTTAGACACGAAGAAAGCCAAACCTATTTGCCTTGCACTCATAGACTTGGATTGGAATATCATAGGCCGGGCTTTGCAAACACTCCATGAAAGCGCTGAATGTCATTGAAAAATACTTCAGTCCAAATGCATGTATACATTCAGTTATTTATGAATTATAAACTTGTTTGTCCAAGAGCTTGCACAAATTTGCTCTCCCAAGAACTCCCCCGGCTGATTATCAACAATTTTTTTAAAAGCCAGTAACCTGAAACCTATGTGTACAAACCATGTATATTCTAGCCGTGTCTCTTAAATGGACTAGAACAATGCTGGAAAGAAAGATTTCAGTGGGTTTTTGTTTCTTCTTCTTCTTTGCAGGCCAGGTTGGTGAATCTCTTCAGATATTTTTTTTTCTTCTTTGCTGGCCAGGTTGGTGAATCTCTCCAGAGATTTAGTTTCAGCAAATTGACAATGTGAGGAAGTACCTGTACATGTATAGTCTCAAGAGAATTTGAGCCCCCTTCCCCCTCTGGCTACTTATGGAAATAAAAGCATGGCGTGGTCCACATTGGCTCCAAAAGCACTTCAGGCTGTGTCTTTTTTTCCCTTCATAACAGCAGTTGTCTGAACCGCAGTTTTTTTTCCACGTTTTTTCCCCTTTACTCCCCTTCCCCCTTGCATTTCTGCCGTTCGATTGAAATTTGATGCTGGAAAACGGGAAGGACTCCCACTTTGCCCCCTGTGTGCTGATTGCTTTTTTCTAAATGAAATTTGCACACCGGTGCTCGCTCGGCGGGATGAGGTAGCTGGCTCCCCAAGGAACTGAGGTTATTAGAAGCATGCCCGACATGTGTACGTCTTGAACTGGATGAGAGTGTACTGCTGATTGCCACCGATTTTGCGTTGGCCCTTCATTGTGGCATCCACTTTCTCATCATCGTGTTTGTGTGTTTGTTTGGGGTTTGGGTTTTTTTTTTTTTTAGATCAATGGGGTAAAAGTAATTACATTATGCTCTGTCATAGATAGATCTTAGGTTCTTGCTACAACTGCTCAATTATTTATGACGCAGAAACCCACAGCTTCAGCCCCTGCGATAATTGTGAATCTATCATCTGCATTATTCATATACTTTTATGAATATTAATAGTATAGTTGGTATTCAGATAATGAGAAATGAAAGTGCTTCTTATATATACCATTAATCTGAAATCGGTGACAACGTGTCATTCTTCAGTCCATTTCAACTTCCTGCAGAGTGCCAACACCTACTGGTTGCAGAGCCTCAGCGTAGTGGATTGCAAACAACTGCATTTTGTGACTAGCTGTAGGCAGGAAAGGAATACATTTACAATGTACATGTAAAACACGTTTGTTCCTAATTTCCAACACACCCCTGCTTGGCGCTGGCGCCAGCCCTGAGCATCAGGGGGCCATAGTACCAACTAAGGGGGCGCACTACCATAAAGAAAATACAAAAATACATATGTATGGCTTTTGCCGGTGGGGGGGTGGGGGGGGCAGTTGCTTGCCGGGGGGGGGGGGGGGGGGGGGCCTTGGGGAAGGGCCCCCTTGGGGAAGGGCCTGCCCCTGCTGGACAGAGAATCACTTCTTTCTTTTTTATGTCAGTACTGAAATCTGTTATTCCTCCTCGATTTTTCTTTGAATGAGTGTTTAATGTACTTTTAAGGAAGATCATGGAAGATCCTGATATGTTGTTTTACATGTAATTAATGAATGACTGAAAAGAAGTATTTCTTCTGTAAGCATGACAAAAATGTGGGAAAACATTATGGTATTTCGCTGTGCTCCAGCAACTTTAAAAAACACCAATATTCTTGAGAAGTGTTTCGTTGATACACAACAATGACTTTTTCATCCCCTCACCAATCCAACCCACCCCCATTCCACCCCCGTACCTACTGTAATCCGTATTATTCTCGTTTTTTACTTGATCTCGGTGAACGTGCACACATGTACGCGTGCCTAGCCATAGAAAACAACGAAGTCTATCTACCTTCCTGAAAAGGTCAGCTTAATACCGAAACAACTTATTAGCGTCTCCCGTATCAGTCCAGCCGTGCCAATCTGTCCAATCTCGAGTCGGACCGACTTTTCTGCCTCGCACATTTCCATCAAATCCTGCTCGACATGCCACAGGCGGGAACAGATAAAGCAGCTAAAGACATGTCCTTGCCCAGGCCTAAATGTGGCCACACCATGCATCTTTGGAGAAGATCTTCTTGCGCGGACCAATTTAAGCACGTCAGCCGCATGTGTCTGAAAAGGTCAATTTCCTTGCCGGAGCTGTCTTATTTCTTCCCTCGCTGCCCACTCTTGCCGATGTGCTCAATTTCAAAATGGATTTGAAGTGTAAATCCTGATCACATTTGCCAGGAACACAGTCAGAAAATATTTACCGGTTCAGAAAAAAACTGCCAAAATGACAAACAGTGCTGGTGACAAACACAACATTGCTGTCAGCATGATGTTGCCGATGCCTCAATTTTCAAAATGGATTTGAAGTGGCAATCCTTATTACATTTGCCTTGCTTGCACAGTAGGGGGGGAAAAAGGATATTACTGTTTCAGACAAAAAGTGCCAATAATGATAACATGTAGACAGACAGCTTTATTTGTTTCCGTGTTCTGGCCGGCCAACAAATTCATTTTGAAATTGACCACTCAGTCTGTATGCTCGATCGTATTGTTTGGTTTTTTTGCAGATGTGTGGGTAGATATCCATCCCCCCTCAGGTGAAACGTGATATTTTGCACAAAGCACTGAGGGTCCTCTAAGTATTCATTTATAAGGAAAAATATCCAAGAGGTTTATTAGATTTGGATTTTTTGTGTTATATATCATGCCTTTGTATTTCCCCCTCAAGTGGATTAGTTTTCAGTGAAAGGGAGAGAATTATGAAAACCGGACATCCTGTTGATTCAGGTGTTTTTTTAATCCGACCAAAAAGATTCGGGAACTAAAAAATGAAATGTGTGAGTGATTCTTTGTATGATAGGAGCGTCCACAGGCACTTGTTCAATGCAGATCTGCAGTGATGTATGCCTAGCAGCTAGAGAATTTAAATGATTTTCTTAAAGGATGGGGATCAGTCGACTATTTGATATGTTGCAGTTATTTTTACCCAGCAATGAAGTACCGGTAGGGGACTTAATGCACCTTGGCCGGGGTTGCATCAATATTTCAACTAAAAGGGGTCCATGAAGTGAATTCTTCTGAGCAACACATTTTGTGCAACTTTCTACTCCTCTTAAATGTATGAAACATATTTGACATCCCTTTTTGGTTAATTGTATTGAAACGTACACTTCTTTAAACATTTAAAATCGTCCATGCTTTTCAGGACAAATGAGGGCGCTATTGCTGTGATGTCATTTCAGGAAGACACAGTTCAGTTAATGGGTTTTCTGTTAAAAATTGTGAGCCCAAAAACTTGCTCATTGAAAACATTTGTGAGAAAAGTTTGCTCATGTACTGATGCAACAATGAATCACGTACAACAGCAAAGAATTCAAAATTCTAGCCACTTTTAGCCGTAACATTGAGGTTTCTGCCTGAAATGACATCACAATTTTGCTCATGAATATGGAAATAATCAAATAAGCATAAAAACCAAAAAAGGTGACCAAAGTAACCTTGAAAATGGCAAAATGAAATATGAAAATCGGGTTAAATGGGACTCCAAGGTGCATTTTCAAGGATTACATCAAAACAAATTCATAACATGGGCAACTGAAACGTATCATTTCAACGGTGCAGTACAAGTATTTTTCAATTCAAGTTTGCACATTGGGATGGGTGTTACACATGTGCGTGCCCCTCCTCCTCCCCCTTCCCTTCCTCTAGTCCCCGTAGTTACGCCACTGTCTTTACATCTTGTCAAATTCTAGCTGTTGCTGACTGTTTTAACAAGAGCTCATGAAGTCAGTGGTGCCCAATGTTGAGGGGTTGAAGGGTCGTACATGTATGTTCATGTACGCACGTTATAAATACTAGGCATGCATAGATGAAGGTCAAAATTGCACTGAAACTGAGGGCTGCAGTGCTGTCTTGTGGCAAGGAATCTAAGAGAAAATTCCCAAAGAGCAGTACCAAGCCTCAGGTTTATGAAAGGTGTCTTCCAAGCCCTTTCTAAATTTCCTTTTCACAAATTGTGTTTATTTTTTTTCCCAATATGTCATGATTGCACAGTGCTGACTTCTTATCACATTTTTATTTTTGTCTTCATCCAGACTTGCGTTGTCCGAGCATGGGATATGTCTAAGCCCATGTTATTCTGCCCCGCCATGAACACTCACATGTGGACTCATCCCGTCACGGCCGCGCAGATCAACACTCTCAGGTCTCTGGGCTACCTCGAAGTACCCTGCGTGGAGAAACGGTTGGCTTGCGGAGATACAGGTAATTAGGATGTACGGTACAGCAATACATCACAAGGGGAAGATATGAGAGGAATTATTACAGCGGCGTGGCTGGCCGGCTATATTAAGGTCAACCGCCGGTGGGGCGAAACACTGTCTGGTGTGAGCTCACGTCGAGCTTATTAGTAATCGTCTTGAGTTTAAAGACACATGGTTGAGGAAGATGATGAGGAAGCCTTAAAAACCTATAGACAGTGTCTCCAGTGTTTTATCATGAGCTTGTTTTTCAAAGTTCAGATAATAGGCTTTGTCTTGAGTTTTAGAATCATTTGGTAGCTCTCATAGCACAGGATGTTGCCTGAAGCAGAAGATGGTCCCATATGGCGCAAGAATCCCCAATCTCGAGGGGGGGGGGGAATTATGAAACAGATACCTGAAGCTGTAGACAGAAGCAGAGTTTTAAGAAATGGCTTATGTTTTCCGATTCAAGAAGTATTTGCTTTTAAGGTCGGCACACACCTTGTGCCAGAAGCAAAGCAACTTTCAAGACAATTACAGAAGTAGTTTCAAAGAGATGTTTTTCATTGCCCCAACAAATTCATTTTGAACTGAAGTTCACTTGGAGTTCGAACAACCTTTGCAAGATCTCTTCCTAATTGGAACATATTTTTGAGAGAAAGCCTAACTCTCAAAAATGTCAATACTCAATACAAGAAGTTGCCATATGTTTGTTTTGTGTATTTTTTTTCTTTGTTCTTCCTCACCAAAAAAACTTTCGGAGTCCACTTTCTTCCTGTAAACTATTTAATTGATGAACTCTTGTTATAATATAAAACCAGCTATATTTAAAAGTGCACCTTTTATGAAAATATTGGAGTCAATCGTTGAATCGCACAAATGCAGAAATGTCATAAAAAAATACAACATAAAACAGCCGTGCATAGAATTGCCCTTTGTTTTTTCCATTGAATATACGGTACTTTTTAAAAACTCAAAACACTCTCACTTGTGTATGCACACTGCAATCTTTTATTAATTTCCATCTTAAGCACGCTGCACAGCACAGAATAGACCTTCAGACAACACACCCGTCTTTTCAAATTGCCAGAGGACTCGGTCGTAGTTTTCAAAGAGATGAGCTTTTTTTTGTGTGAGCCAGAGCAATTCTAGTTCAAGTCTCACAGGAAATAACTAGACGTGCCTGACCGGCAAGGCAAAAGAATGCAGATTGTCAGGAGTCGTGATATGCCAATATCCAAGTCCCTAGGAAATTTGAATCGTTTGTGAACCTTCCTCCACCTTTTCCCCACCCCGCAAGAATCGTGACTTGGACAGAAAATATTACAGAAAATCTCCTAGTAAATCAGAAAAAAAATTGTAAGTCTTGTTCCAAGTGAAAAGCAAACAGTGAAATTTGCTGTACCTGTTATTGTTAAATGTCAGTCACCTTGTGAATAAACTCAAGCACCGTCTAAAAGTCAGCGCAGTTTGTTCACCCTTCCTGTGGTGGTGTGTAGGGGATCAGATCCAGGATGGCTTCATGTGGATTATTAAGGACAAGTTTTGGAAAGAATGTTGCAACCTGACACTACTTCAGCAGTTGTGTACAAAGTCTATGGAGAGTCAAGAAAATTGTCTAAGTATTTCCTAACAAAATAGGAAATATTTCTCAGTCCCAGATTCATGTCTTATCATCATTTTTACACTTACTGACTTTCATTGAGATAATATATGAAGAAAAAAGCAGCGTTAGGTTGCAACATTTTTTCCCAAGTTTTAAGCTTTTAAACACTTTGATAATTTGTTTGCTACCCAGTGTTCATCATGTGATTGTTAGCGTTGCAATAGCAAGCCAGTGCCGTTATTAGGCAATATCTAATTGCCATGGTGATACCTCCAAATTCTCATCATAGACTCTTAAACCTTCGCTTAACGAAGCCAGATATTGCCTAATGAATTGTATTCAGACATTTTGAGTGTGATCTCCATCGACACCATCTTCTATACAAGTCACAATTATCTTCTTCACAAGTTCACATCAGTTTGCATTCGTGACTACTTTAACTTTCAATTGTATTTGCGCATACTCTCTTTGACCAAACGAAATAAACTTGTCAACTCCAAAAGAGAGAGCTTATTTGTGCAGTTGGTTATTGAAGGAAGTGATCATGACGAATCTCAAGTCAAATTAGGTTTTGCCCTTCACCGACGTATAAACACTGTATACTCAGTGTGTTACCTCCCGAGTGAAAGTTGGAAAAAATCACTCGGGTGGGACTCGAACCCATGACCTCCCTGCTTTCTAGTGCAGATGTCTTACCACCCGAGTGATTTTTTTTCCAACTTTCACTCGAGAGGTAACACACTGAGTATATAGTGTTCGTGTACGTCGGTGAAGGGCAAAAACCTAATTTGATTTACATCACCCCGACGCAAAAAAAATTCCATCTTATGAAGAATCTCAAGATTTGACACATTCTTTACTACATATGTACCTATAAAGATGTTGCCAGACAAACCATGAGCCAGTTTTGATGTGCTTAAAGTAGAGCCAGGGTTTCTCAATTCTGTGCACGGAGTGAAGCAGTAATTGGCTTCAGCTTGCTTGGGGGGAAAAGTCTTGGCATGTTTTTTTTTTCTTCAAATATCAAAGGTGATGGATGCATTTCTGTAGGGTGTTTTCTTTCCTCAACTTGGAATGTAGGGGTGGTTCATGATTCAATCAGAGGAGCCGTGTTCTTGGCAGCAATGTATGTAGGTGATTTATGTACAAATGGTTGACTCGTGTTGTCATTTATTTAAATTCTGAATCTCCCTGAGATTTGTTTTGGTTAAACCTTCAAAAATATGATCAGTGATGATAGGCTAAGGTCAGGAAATGATGAAAGTGATAAAATAGTAATGACAAAATGCCATAGTTAAGTAATGCTATACACCAGTGTACATTACATTTTCCTATTTGGCCAGGATGAAATATTGATGTAATCTGAAATACGTGTAGTAATGAGAGTACATGTGCAGTATGTAAAATGCAGTAATTAATAAATGATGTACGATTTTGTACATGACATTTTTTTGGCTCGCCAATGCAAATTTTAGAAAATGAGCAGGAAAATTGATCAAAAATAGATCAATAGAAAAATATTTTGGTCAACATCATCTATCATAGCAGTCAAGATAGAAAAATCAATAAATCAATAATTTTATTTAAAGAAACCAAGCTATTTCTTTGTTGGATATTGAAGGGAGCTTTATACTGAATATAATATATTGCAATATTTGTTCCCAATTTAATATTGGAAAGAATAGTTTTATTCATGCACACGTACATTCACAAGAACAGGATATCCCAATTTTGTAGGAGTGGTGTCATAGTGACAAAAATCAATCATGTACTGTACAAACACACAAGCATTACTTTATTGCGCTTTTGCGCTATCAGAAATATTGGAAGTGTTGCAGCATCACCAACAGAGGGCGGCATTTAGTTTCCAGAGGTTGCCATTTTCTGCACTTGTATCTAGCCCTCTAGGTTGTGTTTGCAACCTTGAAAGAAGCTCATTTTGTTACTTAAAATACTGGTATGAACGTCGTTCCTATCAAGAAACTAAACATGTAGTTGTTTGAGGATAGCTTTTTACTATCTAGACAATTTTCATCAACTTATTAATTTCAATCGTTTCATTTTCAATGTTAATACTTATACTCTTGATCAAGTTTGGTTCACATTCATTTTACCTGGATTCCACAAATTCAGTTTTTGTTTTCCTGTATTCTTGATTATTTGTGATGAAATGAGTTATAGCCAGTACAAAGCAAGGAATTGCATTTTAACTTTAACAGAATAATTATTCATAATATGGAATTTTGCACTAGTGTTTAAACGTCGGTGAAGGGCAAACGCTAATTTTATTTACATCCCCTGGTGCAAAATTCCATATTATGAATAGTTAATGCAGTACCCGCTGCTATGTACATCAGATTTGAACCAGCCAACCGATCCCGTTAGCTCGGTGGTCAAGTGGTAAGACGTCTGCACTAGAAAGCAGGAGGTCGTGGGTTCAAGTCCCACCCGAGAGAACAATTATTATTACAATTTTATATATATTTTTTTTTTGGCAGGTGCAGGGGCCATGGCAGAAGTTCCCACCATTGTGACTGCTGTCCTCGATGCTCTGAACAGGTAGCCCAACCCTGCTGGTTCCAATTTTATGGATCTCATCAGCAGAAATCTTGGCTGAGCAAATTGTCATGCTATTTAAGCAGAAATCAGCGGGGAGCCAGCCACAAGCAATGTACATATCACGGGACATTTTGACTGGTAACCCACGTTGGCCTGAGCAAATATGATCTGGGCTTAGCAGATGACAGTGTTGTGACAATCCAGCCTGAGGTGAATGTAGGTGAAGTCAGTGAGGACAGCTTTGATGACCTCAGCAGGCCTCAGAAAAGGACCAGCTGACCGAAGTGAAGACCAGCATTGACCCTCTGCAAGAGAGTGTCTAATACTCGCAAGAGTCAAACTACATGAACATTAAAGCTTGGGCAGTTTTGTGCACTGAAAATTATCGACATGCACCTGTACATGTACCTTTACAATCCTGGCCAAATCTTGCTGGGCCCCCCGGCCCCCGTTCAATGTTGTCTCTCATTGCGCGGTGTGTGCTCCATCAGCTGGAGAGAACAACATTGACCGGGGGAGTGGGTGACTGTGGCGGGCTCAAAAAGTGTCCCAACCATTTTGGCCGGGATTGTAGGCACCATTGAGACATGTGGACAGTTTTCAAATTTAAAAAAAAACCTTTTTGATCGCGCACGTGGCTGTGGGCTATGTCCATGTATTTTGTCACAAATAAAATGCCGAGTACATTTTATTACAAAAGTAGAAAGCTGTAAATAGAAAAATCTTCACCTTACAATTTTCCTTCGCTTTTCATTTTCATTTAATGCCTTGGCTTGTTTGTTAGCAAACTGGATTTATCACCAATTCATACTTTGTCACCGTTAAACTATTGATAGAAACAATGCAAGTCAGTGAAATGACTCTATTCTGATAATGCGCCTATGAAATGTCCCCCCCCCCCCCATTCAGTCAACTGACAAAAGCAGGAATCGGAGTGGCATAGCTGTGTTATCAATCACCAACAGTCAAAGCACAGCTGCATCAAGTTACTGTTACATAAACAGTCACAGCCAGCTAATCCTGTTTTAAGTAGGCTGGGAGCTCTGAACTGTTGAAAACAGTCACTTGATTGATTTTAACTGAAATGACATCTTGGCACAATACATGTATATGTTTGCATAGCAGGGTTAAGGCCACATTTAGATTGGTGGTAGTCAAAGATATTCTCAAGTAAGTTTACACTCAATAGGAATATTTCAGTTGAATAATACCAGTGCAGTACTGACTTTAATTCATTTTGTCACTTCACATGTTTAAACGGATAAAATGTATTTGTTTAAATTAAATGCAAGTACAAGAATTTGTTGTCAACATGTACAAAATGTATTATTCATTTATTTGACTGATATGAAGTGAGCCCTTGTTTATAGCTTAGAATACAGCTTCAACCCAGCACATGGTTTCATATTGAGTGTACATAAAGATTTCATCTGAAGAGAGATTCTTCATAACAGCCGGTTCAAAGTTAAAATTAATTTTGTGCTATCCTCTTTGAACCCGAACCACCCAAAAATATCTTAACCTTGCTGAAGGTATTTTACAGGAGTCGCTATTTTACAGCCGAGTTTCTATTTCTATTCTGTGTTTTGTTTGTCACATACTGGGTAGTGTTTGATTTTTGAGTATTCGGGAAGCGACCCACTGCGTTAGGGTTACATGTGGTTCTAATGCAGCTTTGTATTTCAAAGTTATGTAAAGTTCATTCGTACATAACATATAAAAACTTTGGGATTTCTTTTGTGAGACAAATGGTACAACTTCACTTTCTGCTTCATGCAAATTGTAAACCACATTTTGTTTATTTTACAACATGATTCTTATTCCACAATTTGATGCATGAAAATAGGGAAGAAAATCTGCATTGACATGCCACCAATGTTGACAGTAAAAGTGTCTCTTAGCAATGTATTAAAAATATCGAATAACATTTTTAATTGTTTTGCTTTGTTTAGTTCAATCAATCAGTGCATTAACTCTGTGCAAAATAAATTTAAAAAAAAACATAATTCTATTGAAATTTTTGCTTATATTATAATATATAAATGAGTATGCTTGAAAATTCACTACATGTATTTGGGGGGGGGGGGGGGAAGGGCAAGAGTTGGATCACAAAAACGAAATGCCCAAACCTAACAATCCCCAACAAGCCAAACTCCAACGCAAGGGTTTGGTGGAGTCCAGCTGAGTGCACAGTTTAATAGCACAGGGTGTTGGAATTTGCAAGGATGAGGAAGGTTCCTGGTAGTCATCCTAGAGAGTTAGAGTTAATAAAAATCACATACATGGCAGGTTGCCGAGCTGAGTACACACATTGGTGAGGTTTTTTTTTCTCTGGTGACAGAGGGATCATTAGGCAGCTTTGAAATAATATAAAGTATAAGATTAGATTAAAGCCCAAGTCCATCATTTGCAGCTATCCAAAAAAGTAACTGGCGTAATTATTGTTGAAAAACATACTGGTTGAAAGATAGTAAGGGGACTAAACTCCCTGTGAAATTATCCTTTCTGGCCAACTCTCATTTTGAAGAAATCAACGAAAGAAGGCATTTCCAACGGTGATTCTTAAGAAGCACCGTAGGAAAATTTAAATTAGTTGTTCGTTTTGTTATTCGTCGCAGCGCGCACAAGCATTGGAACGACGCACAGGTGCGCGGTTGCTATAATTCGTCGGATCAGTGCGCGACATCGCGTAAAGCTGCAATTCAAAACAATTCGAAACATGATTTAGCAACTTTTGATTTTAAATTGAGATCCTAGAATGCTGGTTTTTCTCGGAATATGAAGCTGAAGCTGAGCTGAAACTTCATCAAGTAAGTTGTTCAGTATCCTTCATTAGATTTTGATCACTTTTGTTGCTTCAAACGAACAAAATGCACTAACTACAAATGATGGACTATAGCTTTAAGTAAACGAACTTTCATGCTCGATATAAGATTGGATGGTTCAGGCTGTACCCAGTTCCAATTGGTTCTAAAAGAGAACCGTTTCCATGGACTTTGCTTTATACCAACTCGGTTACATTCAGGATACCACCATACATGTATCCAGTTCGTTAGTGTGACGTCATCTCAACTTAACCATGCGTACTTCACATGGTGTAGCATAGCACGAATAGAACCGGAAGTTAACGCAACTTGAGTGTTTATCCAATAGGCGCTCGTAATCAGTGGTGCGCGCGCGTGTACAGTTGGTGTATGACGTTTTTACTAACGAACCGGATAGATCGTTTGCACTGCAGCCATCTTTGAGGTGTGTGCTTTTGTTCAACAGGGGATAGGCACCAGTACACCACTTGCGCTGTCATTGTTATTGAATTGAATTCACATTTACACAAACATGACAAACCCCCAAGATGGCTGCTGAATGCAATCCATCTATTGTAAAATCAGACATCAATGTGACTGATGCGCTTGACTGATACATGAACAGAATTCATGTGTGGATTAATTGGAGTCTTTTCAATAATGTACTTTAGGCATTGCATCAACAATTGGACATCAAAATAGATTTGTCTTTTTACTGGCTATAAATCTCACGCCCATTTCGTGCATTTATTATAGGAATTCCACATGAAAGGCTGCATATAACACAGGTAGGTTTCAGACTTTTCAGACTGCAATTTTTGATGAACTTCTTGTACTGAAATTCTTTCATTTAAATACACTAATAAATGGAATCACCGAGGAAAGAACCAGTACAAGTGCATGTATAATTTTGTCATGACAATGTTTTTAACACCAAATGAAGTGTTGATTTGTTAAGATTTTTGAAGGTAAAAAACACACACGGTCAGGTCAATGCATCTCTATAAAGCTCTCTAGAGTCTGTGGAACAAGCCCTTTGTACTTTATGTCGTGCCTCTTAATGGTCCTAGCTGCACTGCACTTTAGAGATGGTTTCATTAGGGCAATGAGGATAATTTCTGCCACATTCGTGGTGGATATATCACATGCAGTTTTTCCTTCGTTATTCGTCTGGTCCAGATGGCAGCCCCTGCTCGCCATGAGTACAATGATGGAATGTAAGGTCGTAAAATCGCTGATAGGTTTGTTGTACTGAACAACGACATGCAGGGGTGTGTCCCCAAAATTGTCGGAGGCATTGGGGTCTGCGCCACACTCCAGCAACAGCTCCACGAGTTTGTAGCTTGGGAAGTAGCAGATGTTGTTTGTGTGGAAATCGTCCACCAGAGTGAGTTGGTTGACGGCCATATGCAGGGGTGTGCATCCATTCGCAGTCCTTGGGTTGAGCGAAACCAATCGGTATACCAGCTTCTTGAACTGGTATTCCTGGTTTTTTGTTTTGTTGACTTGCTTGTTCATCATGACCATCAGAACGTACAGCGTGGTGAGAATGTCGGCTTCGAGGACGCTCTGTAGGGACTTCCTATCTGACTGATCCTGGGTTGATTTCAGCTTGGCCTGCCAGCTCTCAATCTCCAGGATGGCCACAGCGAGAATGTGGTAGATGTCCTGGAAGGGTACGTCATCTCCAATGTGAAGCATCTGTGAGAAGACTTGAGCGAAGCGTAGGAGGTCCTTTTGGATGGAGCGGTTGAGGCGATGCCGGACATCCATGGCATGCATCCACAAGGAGATGCAGTGACTGAACTGCATGCTGTCTGCACACACTGCCCCTCGGAAGATGATCGGATGCAGCAAGTCAGGATTCTGCTGCCCCAGGATACGTTCTCGGATGATCAACGCTTGCATCTGGAGTGCAAAGTCTTCCCCTTTGATGTCCTTCAGCTCCTGTAGGGTAACACATTCTCGGTGATTGCTGTACGCAGGGGATGGTTCGCACATCTCTTTGACGATGACATCCTCGGAATCCATGTGTCTGTGCAGCATGGCCAAGTAGAAATAGTGGTACGTCTTGGCAATGTCATAGTGCTCCTTGTCATTTGCAAAGGATGCGCCAAGCAATTCCAAAGCCTGGATTTTTTCCATTTTAGTCACCTTTGGTAATGACATCAGAAATTCTGCAACCTCAGCCATGCCATTGTCACAGGCGACCATGAGGGGTGCAAGCCCGTGTTCATTTGTGAGCATCTTGGCATTGTGCCTGACCAAGAGTTTCACAATCTCCAGCCTGCCGCATTCAGCCGTGAAGTGCATCGCCGTGGCACCGCAGTTAGCCTGCGCATTCACATCGCCTCCGTTAGTCAGTAAGTACTCCACAACGTCACCGTGTCCCTTGTAACTTGCAATCATTAGGCACGTGTTTCCGTACTTGTTTGGCTTGTGGATGTCAGCTTTATTTTGCACCAAGCACTTGACCACGTCCAGCCTCCCATCATAGCATGCTGCCCTCAACGGAGTGGAGTCCGACACTGTTGCGTGGTTGACATCGGCATTGTGATCCACCAATGTTTTGACGACCTCAAAATAGCCCGCCCCCGCAGCGCTCCACAGCGCTGTGGCGCCATCGATGACGTAACCATTGAACTTGACTGTCCCTGTCTGTTCAGTATCAACGCCATACTGGTCAAGCAAAAGTTTGACCACCGTGTTGTGTCCATTTCTGGCTGCGGCGACAAGGGCAGTGCATCGGTAGTCATCGCTCTCGACCGATTCAGACAACACCAGGTTGATGATGGACGGCGACTTATCGTGCAGCAACGCCCCCAAAGTAATGGGCTTACCGTTTTTGGCGGCCTGGAATACTCGCCAACTTAGCGTGCTGAGATTCCGTAGTTGTGGTTCCTGTAGGGGCGGCGGTATGGCTGAATAAATTGTCATTTTCTGTGGCGATTTCGGCCAAGTTGTCATCGGCGTTCGTAGTCGTTTACATACATTTCCGAATGCAAGTTTTTAGTCAGTAGCCGGCTAGCCGGCCGGCCGGCCGACAAGTTGTCGTGGTGACACGTTTAACTGGTGTCAATCACTGTCAATGTGTTTTCTTGGTTCAATAACGTGCAGGGAATTGTCGAGTCAGGGAACCAGACTAGCGTGTACTTTGGCTACCAGCTGGTTTGGTTCCTAGACGTCAGTATTTTCACATGCACTTTCGCACTTCTTATTGGTTACGGCTATTATGGCTACGGCTGGTAATTACACATGCACCTATGGAACCGGCTGAAGCCACATACCAATGTATTACCATAGATGTAACGCATGTGTTCTGCTGCTGCGTCGGGACATAAGGATGCATACCTGCAAGTAAACTCCCATAGACACTAGTGCTAAATGCCCATACTTCAAAATTCTTTTAAAAATACTCAAAACTCTCACAGGTATTCAAGCTGCACAGAAAAATGATAATCAACATGTCATCTTTCGTTTTCTTTTCAATTTTTGGTGGGTTGACCATTGACTTTTCGAGATATTTTCACCCAAAGAAGACGACCCCTATTTTCCGCAAAGCGGAAAAGTAGCCATCTTGAAAAACGATCCCTCCACAACATGGCAAAATAGCACTTTCGAGCCCAATAGCATCCAAAATGCTCAGAATTGGAAGCCCCAAGTCCGGGCCAGAGGTTCATTACCATATCTCTTCAATTCCCCAATTTTACGGCGCTCAGAACTCTCTAATATAGAATATTTTGAGGGTATAACTTTTATTCATGAGCTTGGCGGATCGATTTACCGGTGTGCACCCATAATGCCTAATTGCCCAAAATGTTGAACCGATTTTTACGAAAAAATGCTGGCTCAAAGTGAAGAAAGGACTGGTAAAAAATACCCTGTGACATTGGGGTCGTATGTATAAAAACTAGCAAATGCTATAGGAAGCCAAGCGATAAGATTTACTTTGGAGTATAAGCATAAGTAAAAGCAAATGCTTGATTCCGATGAATAAAAGTTTTCCTTTACTGTTCGTCATTTACTAGACAAAAGGTAGCAAATGCTTCTTAGGCCAAAACAAAAAAATACTCGGTCTCAGGTCAGCGCGTGCGTCGATTTTAATCATGCGCGTCAACCTTTTTTTTTTCTTCAAATTAACACGGAAGCTACAACAGCGCCCTCTATTGCCGCACCTCCTCAAATTTTTGTACCAAGGAGCACCAAGGAATGGGGAAATTGCACCAAGGCAAATGATAAAGGGCACCAAGGCAAATTATGGAGGACACCAATGTATAATGAGGACACAAAAAAGCAAAATATTACCCACCTTGTCTGTACAATTCAAGCTTGAAAAAAAAAAACCAAAAAAAAAAAAAATAGAACCGCGTCGCCGCATCAATTTCGGAACTTCGGTCTGACCAGAGACCGATTTTTTTTTTTTTTTTGGTCTTACTGTTGGATTTTTTTCATGGACGAATGATTGTCAACAATAGGGTATCTTTTATCTTTTGTGTGTAAGCCTGCTGCCACACACACGTAGGGTTTACACGTACATGTATATACATTTGATTCTCAAATCCATACTGATAACACTTTTCGCCAGTTGCAGAATACGGGAAGTAAACTTTCATCATTCATGAACATTGTGAAGGTCCACAGTGTCCTGTAGACGTCACAAATTGCATGAAAATCACAAACGTAAGTGGGTAAAATCAAACCAACATTTAATACACACAGAGTTTTGTTTATTGAAATATTAAAGAAATAAAGTTTGCAAAGATCGGTGACCTAATATAAACTAAAATCCTGCTTTCTTTTTGTTCAGTCCCCAGGCCAGGTGCCGTTGGATAAAATTTCTCCTTAGTCACTCTATGCCGCACTGAATTTTAAGTAAAAAGTAAATGCTTTTAGCTTTCAGCAAGTGCTCTCCAGTAAAAGCAAGTTGCTTCATTTTTATTCATACAAATGAAAGTAATATAAATAATTAAAAATAGGTAGTAAAAGCAAATGCTAGTTTTGCGACCCATTATTCCTGCTGAAATGGTGTCATTCGAGAGAAAACAATTCTAATTGAAGGTACATGGTTTAAGAAAGTGTGCTCGCGCTCGTAGTTATACGTACGCGCACGTGCGTAGTAAAATTCCCAAGATTTCCCAAGAATCAAGAATTATGACACTTAATGCCTACTTCTGGAACTACATGCAGTGTGCCCCCCTCCCCCAAAAAATGAACCTTCAAAGCTCTTTCTTTTTCACAGCGCAAATATTGATACATATAGGGGTCTAGTCAACCCCAAAAAAGTCGATCGGAAAACATTTTATTTAGTTATTATGGCCTATCAAAAAAAAGGGGTGCCTTTTCATTATTTCCCTGGTCTTTATGCCTGTTGGGGTGAGGGGAAGTTTTGCTTTCTTTGATTTTTTTTTTTTATCTTTCTCTCATTTATTTCTAGCAAGGGCGCCAATCGCTTCTTAAAAGTGTGTGTGGGGGGGGGGGGAGACAGTTGAGCACTAATGCTAGTGCGAAGCTCTAACGGCGTGGGATTCGGGGCCCGCTTAAGAGCCCCCGAAAAAAATGTGATTCTAGACGCTCTGTGGGTGCAATTTGAGGCAATTTCTGACCACTAAAACCATTTTTTTTTCTTGAGAAAAAGATCATCTTTTAAACATCATTTCGAGTTTGGAGTCATTGAATCAGCTATTCTGAGCTATAGTATCATTATAGTAGGCTACAATTTTTCTTCGGAAATGAAAAAAAGTGGGGGGGGGAACAAAACGATATGATATCCCCCACACACTTTAAAGAAAAGGGGGAGGGGGAATCCCCCCCCCCCCCGTCCCCCACCGATTGACGCCCTAGAACTCCCCCAGAATAACTCCCCCTCCCACTAATGATAAATAGATAGTGTTCCAAAAGCTAGACCCCCAAAAAAAATGACTGAGAATGTTGTCGGCTGGCGGAGACAATGAATAAGGCAAAAATGGTTCGTGGACAAAAATTTCTATCGAACAAAAAGATTTTGCCCACATTTTCCTTCCTTCGATCGGTACGGGTTTACGCGGTACCATTATATTTAAATAGCGCCCCCAATCGGTAAGACTTTAGAATTAGTCGGGTCCCCGAAACCACACACCGCATTGAAATGTGCACACGATGGTAAAAACTCGACACATGAGTCACGGAACTTTAAATTTACACGTCACCGACAATGACCGATGAGTTTTTGGCAAGTGGTTTTTCTTTCATTTACAAAGGTAAGTCGAATGTGTAGGTCAACTGGCTGTGTTTCGTACGGGTGATCGTGTAGTATAGGGTTCTGTTCCCTAAAGAAAACAAAATCCACTTGACTTAGCTTAGTTAGTTGGCGACATTAGACATGTTGGAACAACGCATTGGCTATGACCGTCTGGTTCCCTGACTTACAAATGTAATAGTACTCAACATCAGAATCTTTGGCTCTTGGGAACCAGACTATCAACCGAATGGTTCTTCTTGGACTTTATTTCCCTTTTTTAAAAATGTATGTACTGGACTACCTCCGTAATTAATAAAGGCCACACTTGGAACATGCACCCGAAAGCCATAGAAAATTAGTCCCCCATTTTTCAGACGTCTATTTTTCGTGTAATTTTCAGGTTTGTTTGCATACATGTTTGCGTATCTAAATTCCAACACGAAATTACAAGAAAAATAGACGTCTGAAAAATGGGGGACTAATTTTCTATGGCTATAAAGAGTGTGAGTATGTTTCTAAAGCGTAAAAAAACTTTATATATAGTCCAAATGTGAAAATTGAAATTTGACAAAGTTCTACACTTTCGGGTGCATGTTCCAAGTGTGGCCTTTATTTACGGAGGTAGCCTAGTCCAGTAAATAGGCCAGATTTATGGGGCTAAAAAAATCAGAAAAAATGTTGCAACTTGACGCCACTTTTTTCTTCATACAAAATGATATATCACCTCAATGAAGGTCAGTCATTGCAAAAATGATGATAAGACATGAATCTGGGACTGAGAAACATTTCCAATTTTATTAGAAAATACTTGGAAAATTGTCTTGACTCTCCTAAGTTAGACTTTGTACACAACTGCAGAAGTGGCGTCAGGTTGCAACATTTTTTTTCCAAAAAATCCTCCATGGTTCTGAAAATAAAATTCTTTGCCCGCCGAGGGCTACAATGTCAAATGAATGACAAGCCGCTGGTCATGCTTGCAACTGAAGATTGACCAAAATCCAATTATTAACCCAAAGCTTTTCTGTCTATCTACAAAGTACAATCCCAAAGTTTCATCACCATGACCACTTCTTGCCATTCTTTCCACCGTGGGAAAAAAAGTATAAAATATCACCCGCCGCCTTCATTTGAAAAAAAAGAATGGACGAGAAATTACTAATTTTTTTTTACTCAAACTTAAACTTTCTTACAGTGACCAGCATTTCATTAAACACCTCGGGGACAACTGAACAAGACTAGCACAGTCATGTTGTCTGGCAGTACCAATCTTGGCAGGGTGGACTCCACATCAAGGTGAGATGGTATACAAATATTGAGTGGATCAGCGTGGAATGGGAGGAATATTATCACAAGGTAAAATCTGGACTTTATTCGCCTCGTGAACTGGAAAAGTCCAGATTTTACCGAGCGATAATATTCCTCCCATTTCACAATTTAAAGCCACTCAATATTTGTTTTATATAACTGACATATAGATCCTTGTCATTTGATATATTTGAAGTTTTATTTCAATACAAAATGGGTGAAAAATGTATTTCTCTCTTCCAAACCATCCCTTCACGAAAATGTTTGAACCCAACGCTGTAGCGCTGGCTCTTTGGAACAATACGCGCTACGCGCAAGGCTGACCGCGCACACCAGCATGCATTTGCACACAAATACCGCGTCATGGAACAAGCATGATCCTAACTGTTGAATAGTATTTCCCATTGCCCATGGGCGGATAGTACTTTTTTTTGCCCCGATGTGAATGGCAGTAATAACAAATGACTCGTGATGTGACTTCCACCAATCAAATGACAAGGATCTGTATGTCGGTTATATAATATTCTCTGCTAAACATTTGGCATTGTGATGAGCTGAGGCGTTGGGTCATACTATTACCATCAACGGCCGTTAAGTGCAACAGTTATCGTCAACTTGTCTTCACCTCCTTGAAAACACACTCTAAACATAGCACTGTATTATAATTAGCCAAAAGAGAATTTTGGCTGGCTAACTTGTGTTTTTTATTTATGAAAACTGACCTTTCTTCCCCCAGAAAATGACCTTTAGTAACGCAGCAGCTGGTGGCCATCTTGTCTTTGTGCGGAGCCCGGAGCGGCCGGACTGTACCTCTTTTTAAGTATGGATGTGAAGGGTACCATTATTTTGCCAAAGTCCACACACCTCTCCTTGAGAGGTATAATCCTATCACCCCCAAGCATTATGGTATAGTCTGCACTGCCCGTAGAGGCAAGATGGCTGCTGACATTGGCTGCAAAAAAAAGGCCTATTTTCTGGAGACAAAACAAATTGCAGTTTTCAGATGTCAAACGCGCATTTTCAAGACAGAATCTCCTTATGGCTCATATATTTCTATGGTGCTGTCTCTCATTTCTTAGCGTTTGGTGTGTTTTAAAGGAGTTGACAGCTGGTCAACGATAAGTGACAGCAAGCTGACAGTAATTGTGGCAGTTGACGGTAATTAATAATTAGCTCAGGTATGCGCACGCGTATGTCCACTCTTACTGGGGCTGTCAAAAGTGGTCAAGAGGCATCACCCACTGTTCACGTGCAGAGTCCAAACTCTACAAACCGTAATCATTGTTTTATTTAAGTTTTAAAACCATAGAAATTGATGATGTTTATATTTATAGACTGGCGCCCTACATCATCTTGCTGGTCATCACCAAATGCCTGAGGTCACTGGGCCTATTTCTTGCCTACGATGTGCTCAAGGTCGTACATCTCATCATCTTTGTGTTCCTTATCAAAGCAGGGTAAGTCGTCAGTAGCCAGTGCTGTAGTTCAGGTACGTGTACTTCTGATGGAACACAGATACACCACATGTCTGGTCAGAAGTGAATCACAAATCAATTCACAGGCTTAGTCGTAAATGGCGGGGGATGCAAAAGAACGAACAGCAGGGTAGGGTGTGCAGAACCAGTGTCGTAGTGGACGCACTTGTGAGGGATCAAAAATACATCACAAGTTGATCTCAATTAATCCCAACTCTCTAGGCATTTCTGCGAGGATGCAACCTCAATCTTGCAAAAGCTTCCAACTGCCTCCATGTAAAAATTACAGACAGCCTCAATCCTGCAAAATCCTCCGTTGTTTCTTGAATGTGGTCCTTGGAGGGGTGACCACTGCCTCAATCCTGCAAACTCCTCCAGCAATCACTACCAATATGTTGAGGCAGAGCCAGTGACATCTAGGAGCAGTGTGGATGATTTAAAGTATAATCTAGGCTTAACTTTATGAACAGCCTAGCATACACAACACAGGGTCTGGCCCAAGAGTTGACACAGTGCATCCTCCAAAATCAGCCACACATATTTGCCATATAGCCTCAAAATCCTGCATTTTGCAAAGAGCATTTTGGGGGCTTTGGGAAGGTTTAGGGTTAAAGCACAAGTTTAAATAATAAGTTGATTGCCAAGTCCAAGTGACAGGGGATCAACAATAAAAACGGAATGTCTGAGTAACAGTTCATTTGACAATGTTGTGATTTGACTTTGGAATAGATGACTTGGGATTAACTTGTGATGGACTTGTGATGACTTGTGATTTGTCACAGGTACACTGACTACGACACTGGGGGGACATTTTCAGATTTTCAAGAGCATGACCCTGATTACTGTAGCAGAAATTCTGAAGCCTTCCATTTTTTGTGACACGGGCTAAAGAAAACAACTGGAACATCCCCCAATTTGCTCCATGGTCTCTGATTCAACTGCAATCACTTGCTAGTGGTCTTCTTTGTACAAAATGTATATGAATAGACTGCCATTCAACTTAATATCAGAGAGTTCCCATCCATTTGATCAACATTACAGCTCTGGAGTGTTTTTGTAAAGGCCCAGTGGTCATTGAATACAGCAAACTATACCCAGTTGTTGGGAGGACATTTCATGTGGCACCCCACTCGTCACTTTTTGTTGGCATGACTGTGAGCTGGATGGAAACTTCCGATGAAATCAGATAACTCTTTTTCGGTTTGACAAAAAATTAGGACACATTTTTAAATCTCTGATTTCTCCCACCACTAGTAAGCACAGAATGGTGATCATAAGAGTGGAATTCTGTAGTAAGCAGAGCCGTGAGATTTGGTCCATTGCTTGACCCTGACTGTGTTTGAACTCCCAAACTGACGCTGGGCCCATTTTCTACATTTTCCTGTTACAGGTCTGCTGCATTGTTACTGCCTATTCAAAGACCGTTTTCATCAGGAAAAAGACTGACCAAACGACAGGTGAGATAGACAGTGTTTGAATATGTACATGTGTCGTATATACATTTGTAAACAAGTCATTGTAATTCATAAAAATCATCACAAGTCACCACAAGTCAATCACTACTCAGTGACAAGTCATCCAGATGCTAGTCAAAATACAAGGTATCAAAAGTAATTTGTTACAAAAGCATTTCTTTGTCATTCATCCCCTGTTACTTCTGGCTTGGCATTTGATCTGACTTGCAATTTGACTTGCTATTGTCTTAGTAATAATGATAATAATAATGGGTTCATATACATGTATAGCACTTTCTACTAAGATCTAAGCGTTTTACATTATTATTACCCCTGATCATTGGGCCAATGAAACATTCCAAATACCATCTCAGCTCCCTGGGGAGTATATAGTACATGCAGCCATTTTGGCGCAAAGCAGCTAAAATCAATCACACTAACCATCTTTGCCTTCATCACAGGTACCCATTTACTCCTGGGTGGAGAGAAGCAATGAGTGACAAAGTGCCTTGCCCAAGGGCACACGCACCATGACCCCAGGCTGGACTCGAACCCACAACCTGCAGAATTACCTGCAGACAACGAATTCAATGCTCCAGACCATGAGGCCACGGCACACCATTCTTGTGATGATCTTGATTGCAATTCTTCATTTGTAATTTTTCAAACATTTTTGGGTGACCAAAATGCAGTATGTATCGAAAGCTGTTCCAATGCAAATTAAAAAATTTTGGGTGCATTTCTTTGGAATATATGTCCAATGTCAGACGAAAGCACATATTGGTCCCCAGTTCACTGTAGTTGTCACAAGATCTGAATTGTTCTGTGTACTCTTCCCTTTTCTGTAGTGGATACGTGTTTTCCGCCATGCGTTCTTCGGTGCCTTGATCACACTACTGTGGATATTTGGATTGACGCTGTGTGGAACAGTCAGGTAACACTCTCCTCAATCTTTAATTCTGATCTGACATTTCAGTGATCTTTGATTAATTGTTTGATTGATGGTGTCAACAATTTTTGCCTCCAGTATTATTCCTTAACCCTCCTACTGATTAAACAGTCACAGACAGTCAAAATATCTATCCACTTCCCCTGCTGTACATTTAACACAGGCTAGTCACCAGCAGTCAGATCATATGGCAAGCAAGCACTGTGACTAGTCAAACTCAGACCATGAACAGACAAAGCAGGCAAGTTGTGGGCACAGCTGGCTTATCAATTACCCACAAGCAAAGTTATATCAAGTTACATAGACAGTCACAGCCAGTCGATCCTGCTTTTATGTAGGCTGGGAATTCTTAACTGTTGAAAACAGTCACTTGCTTGATGTTGACTGAAAGGACAACTTGGCACAGAATGTATGTTTGCATAGGAGGGTCAAAGGATGCATACGTAAACAAGTTATTGTATGTGCTCTCTTACAAGTTTGACTTTTTTGGGGGGACACATTTTCAGTTTGCATTTTGTTTTAAGAAAAAATATTTTATATTTAAGTCATCTGCAACCCTCTGCAGAAAGCTTCGATTTTTAAAGAGTAAACAGATCAGCCCTGCAAGTAGTCTGGTTCCTGAATTGTACATTATTGATTCTGATAGGAAATGGTTTCTTATTAAGGGTTCTTCCATGGAGTCCTGGTTAGCTAACAAGATAAAATTGACAACAGACTTCCATGTTTCTCCCCAGGACTATTCTCCTGTTTGAGCACAGTGATGTCGTGGTGTCGGCAGCAGTTGCTGCCCTCTTCACTGGAAGAGGAGGGGGACCCTCAAGGGTGAGTCAATATTCTCCAAATTCTAATGGAGAATTGTCTTCCCAGTGTAATAGACAAACACTCAAACGTCTTCAGTTTTTGTCAATGGATTTTGCTGTTGTTCAATATGTTTGTACTATCAATGCCTGTACTCTCAATAACTTATCGCACAAAAACTGCTCTGTCTGTTACTCCCTGTACTGCCCCAAACTGCCCCAGCACTGTATGGTGTTATGGATTTATTAGAGTGTAAATACAATGTATTACAATGTATTACAGGTGCTGATGGTTGAAACTTGTTAAGGTGCCTGTGTTCATAAGATAGATACTTTACTGCAATAGTTTCAGCAGAGTTAAGATCGATACTGATTTACAATTTGGTTAAAAATATGAATGTAACATTGTGGGGAGTGTGGCCTAGTGGTTAGGGTTTGTGTCTGGGGTTCCAATCCAGCTGCTGGCCACATGTTGTATCCTTGGGCAACACACCTCACCCCCACTTGCCTCTCTCCACCCAGGAGTATAAATTGGTACTGACATTAGCTGGGGAGTAACCTGCAATATGGACTATCATCCCATCCAGGGGGAGTAGAAATATTCTCATTCGTTTCATGCTACTGAAACCGGAGATAAACACCGGCCTGATGGGCCTCATTGGCTCGGGACAGACTTTACTTTACTACTTCCATTGTATTCTATTCTGTCTGCAGACAAGAGGGGCTGTAGTGTTCCTGACAGCAATTCTGTCCCTACTGCTGTTTGATGTCGACCTAAAACTTACCCAAGTGGAGCACCGTATCCTTTTAGTATAAAGATAATGTACATGTACCTTCTGATAAAACCAACCTTGTGGTCTGCTTATCAAATGAAACAGTTTGACAAAGTAAAAGAACGGAATCGAGATTGTAAATGTATTTCCCCTTGCAGTCATTGTGTGGGTCTCTAGCTTCAGATGATGATCTGAATACATAGATCAATAGTTAATTGGATTAGTACTTAACATATGTACTCACAGCCGAGGGTCACCACAACAGTGCAATAACACACATCTTCTATCAGTCCATCTCATGGCTAGGGGTATCAGACCACAGGGTAAGTAGACAAAAAATGGCAGTCCTCTTCAAACTGGACAGACCAGGGCCCAATTTCATAGAGCTGCTTAAGCAGAAAATTTGCTTAAGCACGAAAAAACATTGCTTCGTAAAATTAGGTTACCGGCCAAAACTCCATGTGATGTACATTGCTTGTGACTGGTATTTAGCTGTTGTTTACTTGCATAACAATTGCATGGAGTTTTGGTCGGTAACCTGATTTTATTAAGTAAGACGTTTTTGTGCTTAAGCAAATTTTGTGCTTAAGCAGTTCTATGAAATTGGCCCCTGCTGATGTATGTGCTTTCAGTTTTGTATTATTGGAAAGGAATAGAATATGTGCATGAACAGTAGATTGTGCTGCAACATCACTCACACAAACGTGTGTTCACCGTCGATCGTGGACGTCCTATTGCCCCTCGTTTGTTTGTTTTTAGGAAGACTCCCATACATGCCATAGGTTTTGTACACGGCCCCAATCGCGGACGTATGTTGGGAATCGTGGACGATATTGTTCTCTTTTGTTCTCTGGTATTTTTCGTCCACGGTTTGAAAAGATGAACACGTACGCACGATTCTAGCAGGAGGGACACACCACCTGTGTGAACTGGTTTGCGTGCATATATGGCGTGACGATGTATTTTGGTCTTAACCTTGACCGAACTCAACCCATCAAAGCCCAACAGCAGGTTTTGTTGAAATCTGTTGGGATAGGTACGGTACCCCTAAACTGATGGAAACTAAGTCCACCAGTGTGTGTGTAAGATTTTTCATATGGGTGTTGGAATTTACCAGAATGGGTATGGTTCCTAGTAAATTATGCTGGGGAGTTAGGGTTAAAGCTATAGTCCATCATTTGTAATTAGTGCATTTTGTTCGTTTGAAGCAACAAAAGTGTTCAAAATCTAATGAAGGATACTGAACAACTTACTTGATGAAGTTTCAGCTCGGCTTCAGTTGTATATTCCGAGAAAAACAGCATTCTAGAATCTCAATTTCAAATCAAAAGTTGCTAAATCATGTTTCGAATTGTTTTGAATTGCAGCTTTACGCGATGTTGCGCACTGATCCGACAAATTATAGCAACCGTGCGCGCCTGTGCGTCGTTCCAATGCTTGTGCACGCTGCGCCGAATAACAAAACGAACTACTAATTTAAATTTTCCTACGGTGCTTCTTAAGACGCACCGTTGGAAATGCCTTCTTTCGTTGATTTCTTCAAAATGAGAGCTTGCCAGAAAGGATAATTTCACAGGGAGTTTAGTCCCCTTACTATCTTTCAACCAGTATGTTTTTCAACAATAATTACGCCAGTTACTTTTTTGGATAGCTGCAAATGATGGACTCGGGCTTTAATGTGCACAAACCAGCGTCATAAGGCGTTCAACCACTACTTTAGGTACTGCTGCTGCCATGATAACAAATGCTGTTGAAGATTTGCTTTTGTGGCTTTTGTTGCTGCTGTTGCTACTACTGTTGCTTTTGTAGAAGCTCATATTGTTGTTTATCGCTCACAGGGAGGTGTTCTACTGCTTGTGCTCATGCTGTGCATCAACGTAGCCTACAAGAACACATCCAGGAAGCTGTCAGTAGACATCGGTGGTTCCAAGCGACTGCACGCTTACTCCACCCTACTGCAAGCCATCATGCTGCTGCCATGGGCTCTCTTCCACATGTTCATCCATGATGTAAGCTCATGTTCAGTTTTTGTTTTATATTAACTGTATTTATCTGTGTTGGAAGTGTTATGTGGTTTAACTTTCCAAATCATGCATTGAACCTGTGATGTCGGCACTGAAATGTTAGGGCCACTGTTTAAAAATGTCTTTTTCGAGATACTGTAAATTCCATTTCGGCCATAAAACTCTGCAGGAAAATCTGCCATGTAGTGGATGTTCACTGAAAACAACTTAGCAAAGTTTTCAGTCAAAGAATTTTGCAGCAGAATTTAAATCTACAAAAAGTCCTTATTAGGCTGTAAATTATGATTGAAATTGAGCATGTTTACGAAAGTAACTTTTCCTTTTTTTTGTGCCTGTTTGTGTACACACACTTAAGCATTTTTCCCAAAAATATTTATTCTGTTTGAATAGTGAATGCCATTAGTTCCCTTCTGTTTTCCGATGAAGCAGAAAGTCAGTGGCCCAAAAAAAGGTTAACTTGGTAGAGGTTTGAGGAATCACCTATTCCCACTGATCTCTAAAAAAAAGAGGAAAAAAAAGAAGCTAAGGCCAAAAAAAAAAAAATTCGGTCTCTGGTCAGACCAAAGTTCCGGAATTGACGCGGCGACGCGTTTTTTTTTTTTTTTTTTGCTTTTTTTTTTTTTTCTTCAAGCTTGGATTGTACAGACAAGGTGGGGTACTATTTTGCTTTTTTGGTGTCCTCATGTACATTGGTGTCCTCTATAATTTGCCTTGGTGCTTTCGATCATTTGCCTTGGTGCAATTTCCCATTCCTTGGTGCTCTTTGGTAAGCTGTTGGAGCTACCGCGGAACATTTTGGAAAAAAAAAAGATCGACGCGCATGATTAAAATCGACGCTGACCAGTGACCGACTTTTTTTTGGCCTAATCTTAGATGAACCAGTGGTGTGACAGTGGAACGTCGCTATACCGAACACTACTACACTGAACATTTGGCTATACCGAACATCGTGCTTGGCTCCTGATTTTTGTGTACAAAACATACCAAACAATTTTTTTGAAAAAATGTCAACACAAGAGGGGCAAGTTGCTATTTTTTCTGCCAGGAATAGAAGGGTAAAGCCACCCATTGCTGTAGGTAGTAAGCTCAAAAACTGTGTACCGTAATTTCCTGCGGATAAGGCGCGCGGCGGATAAGGCGCAGGTCCCTAAAATCACCCAAAAAAAATTCAAACGCCAACAGATAAGGCGCACCGCCGCATAAGACGCATGTTTGACCGCACACAGAAGAACACCAGGCGTCACCCGGTGTCGGTACATCGCCACAAAGGGGCCATTGTGTTGCCTTAGAACGATCACACTATTCGGAGGATGAATTAAGCCGTGTCCGCACTGGACTTTTTTTTTGGAAGGTTTTACCGAGACGATAGTAAAATGAGAAATGGTCAAATGTGACCACTGTCCGCACTTGGACTTTCGACACGGGAAAATTTACCCAGACCGCGTGGGAGAAGTAACCGAGCTGTCACAGTGTCAGTATAATGACTCACCGTACGCAGAAAACAAATTGCCGATCACATTTTCAGCCGCCGATACGCACAGTAATATTACACACGCCATTTGCATGCACAACATAATCGTTTACACGATATTATTTCATCTTGACACGCTAAATCTTGACGAAAAGGCCTGTAATTCTGACGCATTTGTGATGCACGTCGTCGAAGCCATGCCGCTGTACGATATTCCGTGCGGCAGCAGTGCCATCAGTATTCGTTGGTTCCCATCGCATGCTTACAGAATCGAAGCTATGATGTGGGCCAGGAACCAGTGACTACGGCCTACATACGGTACCGGACCATGATGTTCCGTGCATGACTACAGTAGCGTATCAGGACGAATTTGGATCGTAGAAAATAACATACATCGGTGGAGAAAGAGAATTTCCGCAAATTAATTCTCAGAACGTGATCTCTCTTCTCTGTGTATGTATTTGTCCGTTGAAATATATATTTTAACGAGATTTTACCGCTCGGACTTGATGATACACGGCAGCGTGTTTCTACAAAATTTTCGGCCACACGTGCACTGAGGTTCGCGCGGTCTCTGTATGCATAACATGGCGCTCGGCCGGAAGTACGCTTTCCTGAGCCGCTTTTACCGACTCGCACTGTTTTCATCTTGATCTTCAGGCTTGCAGACTTCGAAGATATCCTGTACAATAAACACCCTCAACGTTCACACAATAGAACTTGAGTGAATGCGATTTCCAAACGTTTAAGTAATTCTGATTGCAGCATTTTCGGAATGAAAAAATGGCCACAAAGAAAAACGTTTGTATGACGGCATTGTTGGAACGAAAGCACGATCACTAAGGGGGATCAACGCATTGCGGCATTGTTGGAAGGAAAGCACGATCATGGGGGATCAACACATCGCGGCATTGTTGGAATGAAAATATGGTCACAATGTCTGGAGAGTTGAGCCTCGGTTGACCGCATTATGATTGCGGCATTGAAAGAATTCTTCACACAAAGACCGTCACTTTGAACTCAAGCGACACCAGATAAGGCGCACCTGTAGATAAGGCGCAGCGATGTTTTTGTGGTCTAGAAAGTCAGATAAGACGCGTCTTATCCGCAGGAAATTACGGTAATTACATAATTCAATAGTTGGCACGTGTTCAAAGTCGTCTTTCAGTAACTACCAGGGCATGCAGGGTGAAGTTCTAAAGGGCGCTATTTATTGAAATGTGAATACCGGAGCACCAGCAGTTTAGAATCCCTATACAAAACGATCGCTATTACAAACAATTTTTGTGGATCCTGCGATGTTCGTTATAGCGGCGTTCCACTTTACCTCAAGAAGAACCATCAACCAAGGAGCGTTGCGAGAAACATAATTTGCCAAGCAATTGAGAAAACAGTACACTTCATTTATTATCCGATGAGGAATGCCCAATCTTAAGTACCGTTCCTTTGTCCCTACAGAGTCTAGTCCTGTCCTGGTGGACCCTCCTCTTCCCCTTAGCAGCCATCGTCCTGATTGTCTTCATTCTGGACTACTACGTGGACTCTGTCTCAACCAACCGCCTCGACGTCTTCAAGACCAGCCGCTACGGGGCCTATGCCATCTTCACCAGCGCGTTGCTCCTGGCCTACTACTGGAGTTCCGAGGGCCCGGGGGCCGATGGCATCCTCGGCAAGATGGGCAAAGGTGGATTGATGGAGCATGGGCTGTCTGGAGGGGTGGTGTTCAGTGGACTACTGTTTATTTTGGGTGAGATTTAGCAGAGTTTTTTACGTGTTCGTCAAAAGTCAAATCCAATCAGAAGTCAGTTACAAGAAATGTCACAAGCAACAGGGGATGCACAGTGACAAAGAAGTGCTGTGCCCACAGATCATTTGAATATCTCCTGTACTTTACTTGGTAATGCATTACTTGTGATTGACTCGTCGGGACTTGACTAACATGTAATACGTTTTCGAGCATTGGAACTTCCCAAATATGGACACACACCCCAGCATTGGTAAACTCCTCATCTGTTTTAGGCACTTAATAAAGGTTCCCGATTTATTTCATTTCAGCAACAAGAATTTTGGGCTTCCCCATCCCAAAGCAAAACACCAAAGGCAGCCTGGTAGGCTACACCGCAGGGGGGCTCCCCCTATACAACTTCACGGGGGACGCCCTACACAGAACGTCGCAGTCCATCATGACCATATCCAAGAACATTCTGAGACAGATTTTAGAGGAGTACGACTCGCGGCAGATCTTCTACTACCTCTGTATCAATTTGGTGAGTTTTCAGAGCGACTGAGTTTCTGGCAACTGAGCTTCCTTGCCATGTTAGCAGTTCTTAATACAGTTGCAACATTTTTAAGTGACACACATGTATAATATATTATGGGAAATATCTATTCCTATATGTGTGAAATTAGTAAGGTACCTTATTATTAAGATTGGTATATTTCTTAAAGTACACTTTTCCACTATTTATAAACGCTCTCTCATGACAATTGAAGATGCTGTTGCTAATATGTCAGCTTCTAAAGACAAACATCCTACAGCTTTTAGAATTTTTCTGTACAAAATATAAACCCAAAATATATTCTTGGAATATTTGTGTACAGTTATAAATAATCTCATTGACTGGCTGTGAAATGAGCAAATTGCACTCTAAAACACAGAATTCGTCACAACAGAAAAAAAACCCAAAAATTTGCTGCTGAAGCAGCTGTAACAGAGCAGCATAAAAAACACTATTATTGTACAACTTGTTCCTTTAGAAGTAATGAATTTGCCATGGAGAGTCCATTTTTCAAGTTTACGGTCAACAAAACACGGCCCATTTGAATGAGTGTCAGTAGACAACTCAAGCTAATTTGTTATAGATTGGGTCATAGCGTTCTGCCGCCTTACAAAAAACACCATACTGATAAAAAGAAAAGGATAAAGTTATACTCAAATCATATGCTTACAAAACTACTGACAGGAAAAACTAACAATTTCAAATGTCCCACGATGCAAATTGTCGACCATCTCCCACGATGCATTTGGAAAAATGAACTCTCCGTGGCAAACTCTTGGTGGCGCACTGCATTGTGAATTGCCAAAATTGATTTGATAAATAAGTTTTTCTGTATTAGGCCCCCAAAAAAAATATTCGGTCTCTGGTCAGACCAAAGTTCCAGAATTGACGCGGCCACGCGGCTTTTTTTTTTTTTTTCTTCAAGCTTGGATTGTACAGACAAGGTGGGGTACTACTTTGCTTTGTTGGTGTCCTCATGTACATTGGTGTCCTCCATAATTTGCCTTGGTGCTTTCGTTCATTTGCCTTGGTGCAATTTCCCATTCCTTGGTGCTCTTTGTTAAAAAAAATTGAGGAGGTGCGGAAATAGAGGGCGCTGTTGGAGCTACTGCGGAACATTTTGGAAAAAAAAAAGATTGACACGCATGATTAAAATTGACGCGCACGATGACCAGAGACCGACTTATTTTTTTTTTGGCCTTAATTTAATTTTTTTTTTTTTTACCAGGCTTTCACCTTTATTGAGCTAGCCTACGGTGCCTGGACCAACAGCCTAGGCCTGATCTCAGACGGATTCCATATGCTGTTTGACTGCACAGCGTTGGTTGTTGGTCTGTCGGCAGCGGTCATGTCAAGATGGAAGGCAACTAGGATCTTCTCATACGGGTAACTGACTCGGTGACATAACTAAGTCGAAGGGGGGGGGGTGGTGTTTGGAAGGGCATGTCCCCACGAGTGTTATAATTTAGTCCATTACAAGTCCTCTGCACTGCCTATGCTCGAAGTGGACATGAGTTGGTTCCTTCACTAGTTTGTGCCTGGAAACAGCTGCAATGAAATTGAACTAGATTTCAACAACATAGGGCTGGATAGCTCAGTTGGTTGAGCACTGGAATGGCAATCTGGAGGTCACAGGTTCAATCCCGGCTGCAGTCAATCTCTTTGTTCAACTTTGAAATTATTATTATGCACTAAGTCAGTGTCCCTTTATGGTTTTATTTTTTAAAAAAAATTTAATAAAAAGCCGTATCCTCTTTGAGTGATTCCGTTTGCTCTTTCCCGGGTTTGCAGCATTGCCAATGTTGTAAGCGTCGTGACTTTGAGCGTGATCCCTGGCTACATGGCATATACGGGTTTATGGCTTCTGACTAGCGCCCCTTGAACAAAGACATTAACCCAATGGGGAACCCCAACATAGGCCTGGATAGCTCAGTTGGTAGAGCACCGGAACTGCAATCCAGAGATTGCAGGTTCAAACCCTGCTCCAGTCAAATTCTTCATTCAGCTTTAAAATTGGTTTCAATTTAATGATTTATCTTAATTGTCATATCATGATTGCTCATCACTCTCTTTAACATGAGCCTTCTCTTCTACATTTAATGTCTAAACCTATTTGATCGCTCCACAGGTTTGGGCGAGTAGAGGTGCTATCAGGCTTCGTCAATGGTCTCTTTCTGGTTGTCATTGCGTGTTTCGTCTTCATAGCAGCCATTGGTAGGTTGCTTGACCCGCCTGAAATAAACACTGAGAAATTACTGGTGAGTGCCCATTTGGAGAAAAAAAATTGCGTCTGATTTTTAGTCCAAATTTTCAAAAATTTATTTTAGGATCTGACTGTTTTTACATGAACGGAAAAGTCAATTTTTCCAAATTTTGGAGGTGGCAAGGTAATGGTAATGGTTGATTTAAAAGAAGAAAGGGTGATTAAATGTCTTATTTTTTTCAAAACCACATACAGCTCACAAAGCACATACATTGTAATACTACAAAACTCATTCTCACTGATTCTCTACAATGTTAAGTCCTTTAAGTGTTATCTCGGAATGTGTCATGTTGTGTTTTCATTCTTGGGTAGTTATTTTTTTACATAAAGTCATACTTTTGAGATACAAAATAGATGTTGGGGAGGTAAGGGGATGAAAAGATTATTCAAAAACTACCATTAAAATACAGGATACAAAGTTTAGAAAAGCTAAGCAAGTTTTCCTCGTCATCAAAATGTTCAGTTTTTTGTTTTATCAATCCATTCCACTTTCTCTTTCCAGACCGTCTCCATAGCCGGTTTGCTGGTCAACATGATCGGCATCTTTGCATTCAGCCATGCTCACAGTCATGCCCACGGAGGGGGCGGAGCCTGTAGCCAGTCACACGGGGGCGGGGGACATGCCCCTTCCGGTAGTCATCATGGACACAGCCATAACAGCTCGAGCCATAGTCACAGTCATAGCCATGACTCCAGAGCACCTGCTAAGAAAACCACCAACTCCAATATGCAAGGTGAGACTTAAATACCAACTCCAACTGAAGTTACAACACCTATCAGTATACGGGGTGAGTTAAAAAAAAAAAACGCATCCCAAATGGCAGGAAATCAATTTTGAATGAAGTTTGGCCTGTAGCACTTGCAAAGACTAAGATATGAAAGCCCAGTCATTAAGCTTTCTTTTAGTTCAAGATTCATTTATGTACTTTTCAAGTTACGGCATTTTGAACACAAACACCATTTTAAAGTTCATTGCACGGATCACAAAAAAAGTAGGTGTTCTTTCTGCAAAATGAAAACAATTCTCTTAGAGATGCATGTGAATTGTTTGAGGTTTGATTTTATGAGTCTATTCTAAATTGTATTGGCAACAGAAAAAATGCATGAAGAAGCAAATTATCCTGTATGCCTTGAAGAGTGATCTTGTAATTTTTTTTCTTCATCTTAGGCGTCTTCCTTCATGTTCTGGCGGACACCCTCGGCAGTGTCGGAGTCATCGTCTCCTCCTTCCTGATTGGTCAGTTTGGTCTCCTGGTTGCAGACCCCATCTGTTCCATCTTCATCGCCGTTATGATCTTCCTGAGCGTGCTGCCGCTGCTGGGACAGACGGCAGCCATTTTGGTTCAGCGGATCCCACCGGAGCTGGAGAACAGCATAGCTGATGGCCTCAAGAAGGTGCCAGTTTCTAGAAAAAAAATGTCATTGACACGACGCACATGCGTGCGCGGTTGCTATAATTCGTCGGTTCAGTGCGCGACATCGCGAAGCTGCAATTTGCTCAGCAAGAACGTGTCTCGAACGCTGAATTCAGGCCCAATTCAAAACATGATTCAGCAACCTTTGACTTGAAATCATGATCCTAGAATATTGTTTTCTCAGAATATACAGCATTCACAGAGCTGAAAGTTCATCCGGTTAGTTGTTAAGCACCCATCTTGAGATTTTGAGCACTTTTGTGGCTTTCAACGAACATAATGCACACAGTACAAATGATGGACTGTACCTTTAATTTTTTTTTTTATCTTTCAGGTCAAACTATTGGATGAGGTTCTGTCCTACAGGGAGCACCATTTCTGGTGCCATTCTGCCGAAAACTTTGCAGGAACACTCCACGTGCAAGTCACAGCCCAAGCTAACGAGCAGAAAGTGATACAGCAGGTACAAGAAAATAAAAAAAATAAAAAGTGGCTACTAAGGCCAAAAAAAAAAAGTCTCCGGTTTCTGGTATGGAGCTTGCCCAAAAAGTGGTGCGGCGACGCGGCTTTTTTTTTTTTTTTTAACCTATTTTTTTTGCTTCAAATGTCGGCTGATGACTGCAAAAGGTGCCCGACTAAACTTAGTGCAAATATATGGGAGTCCAGAGAGGCCACATAAAGCTTATTCTCGACCATAACCCAATCTAAAAACACGTTAAAATTGTGCAGCAGCAGGATTCCAGTCATCAAAAAAAACCTTTTCATTTTGCCGACGCGCATGGCTACGGCGACGCGCGTGCATACCAGAAACGGGAGACTTTTTTTTTTTGGCCTAATGTTTGGTTGCACCTCCTAATTTTCTGGGGGGTTTTTTTTGGGGGGGGGAAAAGAAATTTAGTAAAAGGGAGTCGAGCCTTTGCCATCTTCAAACAATTTTGTCAAGTCCTAAACTGAAGCCATGCCGTGAATCCTCTTATACCAGAAAACCCGAATACAGAGCTTGTATTTTTGGGGGTTTTTTTGCCCGAGCCCTCACAGTATTTCAACCCTCTGTTACCTCAAGCTGTAACCACATTGGGGCAGTTTATTACCAGATGAATGCCCAACACCAGCAGGGAACAATTAGTACCCCTAGACTGAACAACTTGTGGGGCATGCTTGTATCTTTTTAAACACATGCGGATTTTCAAAAATTTAATAGCAAGTGTAATATTTGTTTTTATCAAGTAATGAAACCATCTATTATTTTTTGAGTCATTGAAAATGGTGCCTGAACAACAGAAATTCTGAATTGTGGGATTGTACCTAGGTCTATGTCCATACGTGCAGCGTGTAGTTGACTCTCATTAATACAAACGCGTTCGGACCTAGCCAAATTGTTTGTTATATCAGAATTTTGTATCAAGAGGAACATCAGTCCCATTCATTGCGCACATAAATGCACAGTCGGGACCAAGGCTTTGTGTTTGCTATAACCAGAATTTGTATTATCAGTGTTTGTACTAACGAAAGTCGACTGTACATTGTGTATGCGATTATGTAACCAGATAATATTACAGTGGGCTGGGTGAAAGATAAGCAACAAAATCCGGTATGGAAGGACCCTGGGCCCAATTTCACGGTGCTGCTTAACAGTTAGCAGAAAAGTTGTGCTTAGCATAGCAGAAAAATTTGCTAACCTTAAGCACTATTTCACGGCGTGGATGTGCTAACGGTCGCGCGTGCATGGTGATTTCTATTGTTACGTCACTAAGTTAAGCAGATTTTTCCTCTGGAGTAAGCGTGCCTTTTGCTGGGCTTATGCTTACGGTCTCCATGAAATAGACGGAGGCTCTGTTAGCAGAAAATCGTGTGCTTAGCAGCACCGTGAAATTGGGCCCCTGGTCCTTAAAAGGCAAAAGCACATCATGAAATATAGGTTATTATTGGTTGACACATCTCCAGGGGTTGAGCCTCCTCTCTAGCTCGAAAATCATTTTAAAGCCTTAAATGTCCAATCTAACCTCTGGCCTCATGTTTGAGGATTTCATGTTTCTGAAGCAGAACAAATATTAAGGCAGAGTCCTCCAAGTCCGGGGTCTGAAAATCTTGTGAAACTCAGAGACAAAGCCAAAGTTTGGAAAACCCTCTCATGTGCCACTATTGCTGAACATGAAACATAACATGGAGTGATAAAGAGATGCTCTTCACAAAAGACAGAATTTCAACTGTGTTGGGGTGGCTGTCCGAAGGCATATTTCCAATATTGTCCTATTGCCCCTTTCACTCATAAATTCAAACCATGCAAACCCTCAAGTCTTATTTGAAATCCCGTTACAGGTTTCAGCCATCTTTAAAGAGTGTGGCATCCAGAACTTCAGCGTGCAGGTAGAGAAGGAGGCTTACTACCAGCACATGTCTGGCCTGAGCGTAACCTTTGACCAGATGGTGGAAATGACCCAACAGCTGAACGCTATTGGTCAACAGGATGATGGACTCTATGATATCAAAGCTGTCTGAGACCCTGGGGCATCACTAGAGGGGGTATGGAGGGTTGACCTATGCCCTTTGACCAGATGGTGGAAATGACCCAACAGCTGAACACTATTGGTCAGCAGGATGACGGGCTGTACGATATCAAAGCTGTCTGAGACCCTGGGGCATCACTAGAGGGGGTATGGAGGGTTGACCTATGCCCTTTGACCAGATGGTGGAAATGACCCAACAGCTGAACGCTATTGGTCAACAGGATGATGGACTCTATGATATCAAAGCTGTCTGAGACCCTGGGGCATCACTAGAGGGGGTATGGAGGGTTGACCTATGCCCTTTGACCAGATGGTGGAAATGACCCAACAGCTGAACGCTATTGGTCAACAGGATGATGGACTCTATGATATCAAAGCTGTCTGAGACCCTGGGGCATCACTAGAGGGGGTATGGAGGGTTGACCTATGCCCTTTGACCAGATGGTGGAAATGACCCAACAGCTGAACGCTATTGGTCAACAGGATGATGGACTCTATGATATCAAAGCTGTCTGAGACCCTGGGGGAATCACTAGAGGGGGTTTGGGTGTGTGACCTGTCATCCTTGACTTTTGACCTGATGGTGGAGATTACCCAACAGCTGAATTTGGTAAAATCATGCACCTTTGGCAAAGAGGCCATCCAGAGCAGTTCCACCTTTTGTCGGATGATGTCCGGTTAAATTATGTTGTCCGTTGCAGTCTCTTGGCAATTGTAAGGTTACATCCTCCCCTTGCGAATTGGTCTGACAGTGCTTGTGATGCAGAGCTTTGCAAACAAAATTTCTAACACCCCCTCCAAGCCATCCAATATTATATAATTATTATTACTATAATTGTTATTTGTTTTGTTGGCGGTGTCAGAGGGGGAGGGGGGTTGTGTTTCAACCCCCCCCCCCCCTTTGATCCGCACCTGCCTTTGATTCATGGTAGCAGGTCTGTCATGAAACACATTTCAGATAGGGAGGGAAGAGAATGAACCACTTACAAGGCATACAGCATCACTTGCACCTATCCCCAAAGTAACCCACCGAATTATTATCAAAAAGCTTACTTGGGTTAAAGATGGTACCGGTACTAAGCACACCGTGACATTGTTCCGTCTGGCGTGTTGTCATTAAGAAGAAATCAAGAAACGTAGGTGATCTCCAACGATCGGTCAATTGACTGATATTTGGAAATACATGTAGAGAGAGTTATAGACGAAATCAAGTTTCGTGTTCAAAAGGTTTTGCATGGTTGTGTTTGTTTTTTCACGTCTTTTCTTGCGAAGTGTAGTATCGACTGATCTGGAACTTAGGTACTGAACATTCTTCGGAGGATTATGAGTTGTGTTTTTATTGTAAAAGAACAAAATGCATGAAAAGTAAATGATCCTATATGCCTTTAAGTCTTGGTGTTTTTGTGGGATAGGTTTGCAAAGTTACGTCTTTGTGTAAATACTGTATATTTATCTGCGTTTGCAGAAGTAAAATAAAGTTAATGTCTTTAAAAAGAAATCAACTTCTATTTTCTGGGGTTTTTTTATACGTCAGGTTGTCTTTGTTTTCTAATAGTGAAAATAAATGTTAAAACGTGACCTTCGTTAGTTTTTACAAAACTTAACATACAGGTATGGACTTCAATTTCATTTCTTCCCAGAAATATCCGGCATGCATTATGATAAAATGCTTATTTTTTTTTAAAAGAAATTACTCTTCTAAATGCAGACATGGGTTTTGTTTGAATTGGAGCAAAATTTAGGTAATTGTCGACTGATGAGTCGAATTTACCGCTCATAAAAGAGATTGTTACTGTTAGTCAGTATGCTCATGGTCAAAATGAGTCTAGCGTTATGCCATTTTGGGTACATTCTTTGACATTGTCGAGGATTATTATCAAAGCATTAACGAACCCAAAATAACTCAGAAGAGTGCCGCCACGCTGTCGGGGAGGTAGTCAACCTCGTCCCCAGTGCTTAATTTATTTCCAACCTCGTTTGCAATAGTAAGCCCTGGATAGGAAACTTTTTTCCTGTATCCTGATTAGATACTGCAATTGGCTACAAATTGATTTATATCGTGTACTTGGTGTTGTTATTCACAACATGCAGTACGTGTTTTTGCAATCATTTGTCCACACCACCTCGAAAATATAAATTTCCTTTTTCCAGTTTGTTAATATTAATATTATGAAATGTGATACTGCATGTTGTCTCGTTAAGTTCGTCACAGTTTAATTAAAATAAAATCGTGTTTTCGCAACTCACGCCATGCTCGCGCTGCGACGAATTGATTCTGTTTTACCCCAGACACCGCATACAAAAACAAACACTAATGTAACGCACAGGCCGGCACCAGACTATTCCTCATTTGCATACGTGTTCTAAAATCTTGCACATGCAAATGATCAAATACCAGGGTGAGAGAGCAGGTAGTGGTGGGCGCGTACTGCTCGACACCCTGGGGACGAGGTTGGGGAGGTGGTGTATTTTTTTTTTAGTTAAAAGAGGGCCTACAATTGAATACCCACTTTCCCGAACTTTTTGGCTGCGGGGCGACCGTTTGAAAACGTTGAATAAGCCCAAAAGGAGACTTGTATATTGAGACTTTTTTTGCATGAATGAAAAATTGAATTGACATTGCATGCAGTACAGTCTGGACAGACCTTTGGGGGGGGGGGGGGTGGAACATATTTCATAATTTGTGGGTGGGGAAATATTGAACTACAGGGTGAGTCAAAAAAAAGCGGAACCCAAACCCCAAACAATATATTTCGTAATCAAAAAAAATGTAGCACCAAAAATAATAATGACTGGAAAGCCAATTTCAAAAGCTACTTTTAGATGAAAAAATTACTGAAATTGCTTAATCGTTCAAAGAATATCACCATTTAAACGCAACTACCCTAAAACCTTTCTTGTCCAAAAAAAAGCAATTTATTGTGTGTTTTGACTGTGTGGAACAACAAAGAAAATGACACAGAATACTTGTTTCAACAACTGTCACAAACTGTAGTACACAATATTTTGATTAACAACCCTGGTTAGGCAAACAATATGATGTATAAAATCTACTTTTTGAAAAGACGGGCTTTCAAAAGGACTTTGTTGCATATTCTTAACGTTTAAACTAAGATTTCATCGCTGGTGATGTTTGAAGACAATTGTGACGACGATTGTTGAAATCGCATTTTTTGGACGAGACAGGTTTTGGGGTCATTGGGTTTAAATGGTGATATTCTTTGAACGGATTGACCAATTTCAGTAATTTTTCCATCTTAAAGTAGCTTATGAAATTGGCTTTCCATTCATTATTATTTTTGGTGCTACATATTTTTTTAAATATGAAATATATTGTATGGGGTTTGGGTTCCGCTTTTTTGGACTCACCCTGTATATTAGTACCGAAATATTGTCAAACTTTTATGAAATTGGCTCAAGTAGTCTAATAAACATCAAAAAGAAAATACAAACTTGTATTTCACTTTTATGTGGGTGGAGTTAAAGGTTTTTGATTTTAAAAGAAATGGGGAATGATGAAAAAACAATTTTGATCTTATTTATTTGTCTAAAATTATACAACAGCTGGGAGATCTATCCTTGAAGCAAATTCAAAACAAACATAATTTCGGACGATTAAAAACAATATTAAACGAAAAAAGAGAGTAAATTTGGCGTACATTTTATGTCAATATTTCAGGTGTCAAAGAACATGTGACAATATTCGAGGTACGTTTTTAGAAATATTGGTATAAACTTTTATTTCGCCGATTTTTCAGACCAGAAATGAGACAAGTTTGGCCAATTGTGTAAATTCACACTATTCCTTCCACTTTGGAAAATTAAGTTTGCTTTGCCAAGGCAAGCCTGGCCAAGACTTACCAAGACTGGATATAACCTGACGAAACTGGCCAAGACTAGTCAAAACTGGCCAAAACTGGCCAAGACTGGCAAAGGCTTGCCAAGAATGGGCGAGGCTGGGTCGAGAATAATAAGAATAATACTAATCGGCATTTTAAGAACGCTCTTATTAGTAAACTAATTCACAGCGCTTACAGTATTATTACCCCTGATCATTGGGCCAATTAAACATTCCAAATACCATCTCAGCACCCTGGGGAGTATAAAGCTCGATGCTGCCTGTTAGGCGCAAGCAAGCTAATTCAATCACATAACCATATCTCTGCCCTCACAGGTACCCATTTACTCCTGGGTGGAGAGAAGCAATGAGTGGCAAAGTGCCTTGCCCAAGGAGGGCACACGCACCATGACCCCAGGCTGGACTCGAACCCACAACCCGCAGAATTACCCGCAGACCACGAATTCAATGTCCTTAACCACGAGGCCACGGCCCTCCACACAATGACCAAGGCTGGCAAAGACTGACCACGACTGGCCAAGACTAGCCAAGGCTGACAAAGACTAGCCAAGGCTGACCAAGACTGGTCAAGGCAAGGCTGGCCAATACTGGCAAAGACTGGCCATGCATGGGCGAGGCTAGGTCAAGAATGACTGAGGCTGGCCTAGACTGACCAAGACAGGTCAAGCCGCCAAGGCTAATTGCCAAGACTGCATGGGCAAGGCAAGGCTGGCCAAGACTATAAAACTGGCCAAGACTGGCAAAGGCCGGCCATGCATGGGCGAGGCTGGGTCAAGAAAGAAGGCTGCGGTCTAGACTGACCAAGACAGGCCAAGACTAGCACTTGCCAAGAATGGGCAAGGCAAGGCAACTTAGACTGGCCAAGACTGGCAAAGGCTTGCCATGCATGGGCGAGGCTGGGTCAAGAAATGATGACCAAGGCTGGCCAAGACTGACCAAGATCGACTGGCCAAGACTAGCCAAGGCTGGCCAAGAATGGGTAAGGGAAGGCTGGCCAAGACTGTCTAAGACTGGCCAAGACTGGCAAAGGCTGGCCATGCAGTGGGCGAGGCTCGGGGTAAAAAATGACCGTGCTGGCCAAGACTGGCCAAGATAAGGCTGGCCAAGACTGGGCAAGACTGGTCAGCTAGGGCTGGCCGAGACTGGCCAAGACTAGCCAAGACACCGGACAACCCAGTACGGTGGCGATGAAACATTTTTGATGGCACTGATGAATATTTAATATTCCTTTATCGAAACATTTATTAATATTTATGAGATTACTTAATATGTACAGTAATTTTATTACAGCTTCTACTTGTGGTTCTGTGGTTCCTAATGGTCACAAATAGAGAAGCCTTCTCGAGTAGACCAGTGTATCCTATCCGGCATCCATAACATTTGGGTACGTGTATGGAACATTATTGCTTGAAATGTGCCTAAGAAATTGGAGATTTAGAGATTTGAAGATTTGGAGATTAATGTGTTGTAAAATTATTGCATAGCAAGTGCTTATGGAGATTATTTCTCCTTGATTTCATTTTCATGCCTTTAATATTTTTATGCCTCTCTTCAGAAATGTACTTGTAAATTCGCACCACAAACATTTCTATGGAACAAATAAATGGAAATTGAAGTTTATAGAACCAGTAATGCAATTTCTCATTATGACGAGAGATAACCAAGGATAAGGAGAGATGGTTAATAATTGCATTCATATTCATTGTATATTTGTAATTTAATTTCTATTCTTCTGTTTTCTGTTATTGCAGACTGCTGAAGAATGACTGTCGTTTTGTAGTTTTGTGTTTTGTAGAAATAAAATTTGATCAATTAAGTGGAATTATATCCCAGTGTCACTTTCAAATCTTCTGCGTAACCTTCCCAGCTCGGTTACACTTGTTTCCTGAGAATTGTTGGGGAGATTCGTTAATTATCACTTCGTACCCGGCCTGTGAGCAAAGAACACGTACCGTGTCGTGGCCAAGTCGCGGGCATGGCATGGCAGCGCGCTCAGATCCAGCCCACAACATTAACACGACGCACTTGACACGTCCGTCAGTACACGGGCCCGGCCCACACCCACACATTACGTACATCAATGTTCAGGTTTATTATGAGTCAATCGCGGATCGAGAGTGCTGAGTGGTCATGTGGTAGCTAGCAACGCGACGCGTTGTTGACAATTAACGTAAGTTATCGTTTCAACTTTTGTTTTTCCCGAAAAAGATGCTTATAACTTAAATTAGTAGGCCCCATAACACGGTACACGAATGATTGTTTAGTCTGGCAACTTTGCTCCCATATTCTGCCTACATAATAGGCCCTATGTAGTAGCATGCAAAATCCTAACTGACATTGTGACAAAATGAACCGAGCGAGACAACGCGTGCTCTGCAAGTAACGATAAATGGGTTATGTTTAATATTCGGGCAGGCCCTAGCCCGACTGCATCTGGCCGTGCCCATGGAATTCGGCATGCCCTCTCTCATAAACTTGAATGACATATAGGTGTACAGGCATAATGTTAATAATTGCACCATATAGGCCTAAAATGGTCGAAAGTTTACGAGTGAACTGATGTAGCCTTTTGGAATGTACATATTTTAAATCGGTTCGATCGGAACGATTCAATTATCAAGTCAGTGTTTACAGACGAAACAG